CCTACTAGGCTCACGACGTGAGCATTGGAAACTCACGACGTGAATCCCGAATGTTGGCCCTATAAATAGAAATCGAGGGTCAGCCGATTTTGGTTGCTCTATCTCTTCTCTCTCACTCCCGATACTCTCTATAGCCATCCCGAAGTACCCCCGAAGCCCCGGTATCATCCCGAGACCCGAAGCGAGTCCCGAAGCACCGAATATCCCGAAAAGAAAAGAGTTTCCGAGCCGAAGCCCTGCCCGCGAGAAGCCCGGTGTGTGAAGATCTCCCGGTTTCACCGCAGGATACTACTCTTAGAGCCGTAGTGCTGTCCGATCATCTTCTGATCAAGTGAGTGTATATTCATTTTCTTCTAACACATAGATATGGAGTATTCTTTATAAAATACATGCTATGTGTTTATTTATATATTATTTGATTATTTGAACTAGTTGTTGAATGGATGTTTTGTACAGGTTTTAAGTTGTATATAAATGTATATATTTTTATCTACTAATATGTTGGGTAGAACATGGATAGACAGTTGTTGTGTGATGAAATAAAATGATGAGAGGCCTCGATGTTGTTTTTGATCTAGTCATCTAGCGGAGTATGGATGACGACCACAGACTCTTTCTAGACAGTCCAGTAGAACACTAGCATGTTCATAACTTGTAGGTGTTGTGAACGATGTGTTCACCGGTGTACTCTATCCCCCTCATGGTTGCCTTTAGGACATCTATTGTTAAGGAAACCCCTTTGCAGTAATGTCCGTCCCGATGAAAATCCTAGATTAGGTCCCTTGTAATAGTTGTTGTTTTAGGGACATAAAGTGAGGATAACGGGAATGGGTAATCGGGTTATTGTTGGTTGGTGAAATTAAATATAATTATTTATTGTGGGTTGAAAACCCTATATGCTCACCAGGCTCCCAAGCCTGACCCACTCAGTTTTTCTTTGTATTACAGGTAGTGGCGCGAGGGCATAAGTTGGATGACATTGTCAAGATATTTTTGGATTATAGACCTGTAGTTATATGTAACTGTTGTAAGGTCTATTTCGTATTGTTTATGCTTTTGGTCTATATCGGAACATGACATCCCGAGGTTTTGTTATATAATGAAAATACATTTCTTTATGAAATGCTTTGATAAATTCTTATCATATTTTGTTTTGGGAACAAATTCTGCAACTCTTTTAATCAAAGGATTACTCTGATTTTATTTAAAAGCATAAATGAAACCGGTCTTTTCTGGCCGTGATTTTGGGGATGTCACACATGCCAACACTAAAATTGCCTGCATTGAGCTCTCAATTGATTTGGGGAGTTTTGGTTTGAAATGAGGCTCTATCAAGTTTAAAACCTATGTTCTGATTGCGTGACCACACCGTGGTGAAGACTTCACCATGTCGTCGTGGTCTAAATGACCCTGTGGTCTTCTCTTCTCCGTGTTGTGGCGACTTTTTCTCATAGCATCCTAGTTTTCCCACCACGACTTGGTGCATAGTACATTGCTTACTTCTTTAACACGAAAGACTTCTTCTGAATCGCTTTTAACCCTCACCACTCCGTGCTGATTCCATTCCAGGTTTGGGATATTTTTGTCCCAACTTCTAAAGCACATACCTTCTTCGTTCTAACTCATTTTCTATGTTCTTTATATCCACATGAAGGTGGGAACGTACTCTATAATTATATTAAGTCACTTCTCACTGACTTAATACAAGTCTTAATCTATTAAGTCATGAAGTTGGCCTAAAAGCATAAAATTCACATTTTATCCTTTTGACAAAAAAATTCATCTTTTCATGCATTCTTTCTCTTGAACTTACTCATCTAACCTCTTTTAAGTGATTTAAACTCTTATTGGCTATTTTCATGAAGTCACAACTTCATATTCTCATCTTTTTCTTATAATTGACTATTTTGCCCTTTTGGTCAATATTGGAATAAAAGTCAAATTTTTCTAAATTTCAGGTTCTTACATTTAAGGTTTTGGTGAACAACAAATATGAACCTCCATTTACCCTAGAGAGACACATAAAATAAAAAATTGTGGCCTTCTCCTTATGTCTCTCCTTGGCAACCCAAACCATGTCCCTAAACAGGGTTCTAGAAGAATTTCCTCATACACAAACTAGGTGTCTTTCATACTTGTTGATTGTTGTCGGGGGTGTGACCTTGTAGATAGGTTCAATTGTGGACATTTTGGTTGTGTTATTGACTGCAATTATAGGTAATATTTTCTTATCCCTCTTGATGTAGAATTGGTTACAAAAAGTTCAATACACATGATAATATTATCATATGATATTGTTTTTATTATGTTGTTTAATGTGAAATTGTTTTTATAAGCATCATAACCAGATAACATCTTAAACAAAAAGTTTGACACTTGATCTTTCTTGTTTTGCCTCTTTTCAACAAATATTTTTGCATCTACATTGTCGATAAAACAATTCATGTCCCTTCAGAAATTATTATAATCACCAAAAATCATTCAACCCTTTAAACTACACATTAGCATGTGAGCCCTCGTGACACCAATATTTATAGTTTTCAACCTATGAATAAAGTGTTTTTCTTGTAAGTTCTTTTTCATGATTTCTTTATCAGATTGTGGTCTCTTTACCGATCAACTCATGATCGTGAAACACATCTTGTATGGGCTATAAGTAATTAAGTTATCTTTGAAAGTGTTTAATCATTTTAAAATAGATGTTTAGGAAATTAGATCCTAAAAGTGAAATAAAACAATCCAAGTTTGTAAACCTAGTATATGAGGGTGTACAAATAAATCAAAACAATAGTCTGAGGATACCATCACAAGGTATGTGGCCTTTTAAATATCCATGATTTCTTCACTATCCCAAGCTCCAATATGATATTGTGAGTATATGTCAAAATAGTAATGTTAGAGTTGAAAAACCTAGAAAGTAAACTCATAATTAAACTTTATAATGAAATTGGATAGTGGCAATAGTTCAATTTTAAAGTAAAACTCCCAAAAACATTTCTAAAATCATTTGGACTTATAAGTTATATGAGAAGCATTAGAAATAACCATTTCCAAATTCAACCAAATATAGTGAATGTGCTTTTAGATTCCCAACGCAAGTTCTTTACACTCCAAACAAATCCATTGCATTATGAGGGTCCTCATCGTTTAATGGCATAAACATGGTACTAGTACTACACCCAAAACTCGTTTAAAGGCATGGTAAAAAATATCGATGTTTTGAAAATATGTATAATGACTGTTATCCCATATAAAACCATGGAACGAGCTTGAAAATTTAATCTCTTAAACATTATTAGCTTGCACGGTAAACAATATTGAAAGTGGTAACCTATACCGGCAATAGGATTTAATCGTAATAGTTGTCGAGAAACATTCAAGTCAACCTATAATTAAGTGAATAAGTGATATACAAAAAATAGGATGCTTAAACAAGTTTTTATTCAAATATGATATTTTCCCCATGTGAAAATACTTTCAAAATATGTTTCATGGATGCAACAACATACATATAGTAGTCACATAGCAAGTAAGATCACCTTAGTATAAATTAAGTTAAAACATATATAAAAACCTCTGTTTTCGTTATGCAATTTTCGTGTTTTTAATAGTTATATACTTATATTGTATATCTTGCATATAAATAAATATATAAACTTAGATCATGCTTAAATAAGTAGCATAAAATGATAAAATGAAAGACAATGAGGTGGATTTTATGAACGCTTTTAAATAAATTACCGAAAATGAATATATGACAGTTTTATTATTAGAAAAAGACTTGTGTAATTATTTTTCTGATAATCTTTTTATTTAAATAACTAAAATTTAGAACCTAGTGGAGTCAGTGGTGGACCAGCAATGATTAAAAATAAACCCTTTATCCACGTCAAATATGTATATGTGTGTTTATGACTTGAAGTCAAGGTCAACGACCTGAAAAGAACTAGAAAATGCATCGATTGACTGATTCCAGGACCAATCCAAACACGACTAAAATAGTAGCTTTATTAATGTAAAACCAATACTTGATTTGCCTCCGGATACACGTTGTATTCAAGTTTCATCCACATCCACATCGATCCACTGCTTTATTCTTATAAGTGTTTTTTTTTTTTTTTTTTTTTTTTTTTTTTTTTCTGAAAAGCCAGATACCAGACACCAGAGAAAGGTTCAATGAACCCTTACCCCACAAGAGCTTGCAATTCGCATTGAATTTGAAATTGGCATTTAACAGCTAGCATCCAAAAAACAAAACCCAATTAAGCAAAAAAAATGTTACCACAAATACTGAAGCTTAAGGGACAATTAAACTAAGAAGAAAAAAAAAATGAGCCCTAGCTAGTATCCAAGAACAATATTCCCAATTTAATATTATCGATTGGTGGCAACTAAGGGAAAAGATTACGTCGTTTTAGCTGGATGAATATTTGGAAGTTTGTGTTTGCTTGAAGAGCTATTTGGTTAGCTGTGAACACAATATTTCAAGATCAAGAATCACTTGAAGACGCACTTGATGAACATGGAAAAAAAATACTTGATGTTGAAGGTAGTATTCTCACAAGTCCTAACGAAGATCATATCATTGAAGCCGATTCTAACTTACATAATTTAGTAAAAACGAATCAATATCGAATATTTAATAATTTATGTTATCTATTCCACTTTTCAAATTACATTTGTAGTGTGGAGATTGGAATTGTATGTTATATGAAAAGTGAATTATATATATTGTTGGAGGTTTTCTAATTTGTTTCCATACAAGTAAAACGTTACATAATAATGTATTATATAGGTTATTATTTATTTATGTTTTTAAAAAAATATTTGTCAAGATAAAATTGTGACAAAGCCAAAACTTTATGGTCTAATTTAGCATGATTTGAACTTAAAGGACTAAATGGTGACAAAGCCAAAACAATGATGTCAAATTTTATCTATAGTCCAAAAAACAAAATAACAATTCATTTGTTGTAATACAGAAGACAACACATATGATTATCCTAAACAAAACCATCTACATTTATACAAAACCTTTCCCTCGTTAACAAACACCAATCTTCAGTCTTTCCTGTTCTAAATCATGCACCTTATCATCCATGGCTTCCTTTTTATAAGCTTCCATCATTATAGAATAAGTCACTGCATCAGGCCTACATTCTTCCTGTTTCATCTTCTTAAACACTTCCTCCATCTTCATCAAATCACCAGCCTTTACACAACCATATAACACCGCATTATAAAAACTTGTATTCTCATGAATCTCCATTTCATTAGCTAACTCCACAACACTTGCCACCTTATGAAACACCCCTGCATTTGCATACCCTCTAATCAAACAGCAAAAAGTCTTGGTGTCTGCCCTCATTCCCTCTCCTTGCATTTGCTTAAATGTGTATTCCATGTTCTTGGCATCACCCACATCTGAAAACGCCTCAATTACATTGTTGTAGGTGGATGTTGTCCATGGAAATGAAAGCTTCCTCATGTACTCCATTACAGATGACATTTTGTCATACATCTTGTTCTTCCCGTATACACCTATTAGAATGTTGAAAGTGCGTGTTTCTGGTTCGATTCCAAAGTTTCTCAACTTTTCATACCATTTTTCCATTGATTCGATATCACCCATGTTGCCAAATAAGCTCAAAATCGTGTTCATTGTCCAGACATCTGGTGTACATGTATCACTATCAAGCATACTCAAAAGCACCTTTTCCATTTCTTGAAATTTCCCTGCTTTCCCATATCCAGCTAAGACTGTGTTTTGTGTTACAGTGTTGGGAGTGATGGATCTTTCATCCATTTGGTGGTAAATGGATTCGACAAGCTCAAATCTTGCAGCATCAACACAAGCTTTCATTAGGATGCTGAAGGTGTAAACATCTGGTTGGCATAAAGGAAGGGTCTTCATTTGGTTGAGGATTTTGAATGCTTCATCTATTAGATTACTTCGACAATAAGCAGCGAGTAAGGCTGTGTAGAGTTGTGATGTTGGCTCTAGTCCCTCTTGGATCATTTCGTCGAACAGGTGGCGGGCATGTTTTGGTTGACCACATCTTCCAAGTAGAACGATGAGCTTCATGTAAGTTCCTTCCTTGGGTTGATAAAATGGTTGTTCTTTCAGCATCTCAAATACCTGGAGAATTTGGATCCAGCATTTTCAGTAGTCAGTCCTAATTCGCGAAATAAAATACATTAGATTGAAGGATATGATTACCTGTAGAGCTCTTGACCACTGTTTTACGTCGACGGATTCAGATAAGGCTTCAGTAACCGTATTTACCCAAGGATTAAGGTTAGCTTTACGGTCGAGCTTCTTCTTAATGTTCTTAATCGGCGTTCTTCTGTTGGATGAATTTTCCGATACATGGCCCGGGTGCTCACCTTGTTTCCACAACTTCTTCTTTGGGGAAGAAGCTGACGCAATTGCACATCGAATTACGAATCGAGGAGGAGCAATGCCGTAATTGTGATTGAGGTTGCGGTTGTGGTTGTGGTTGCCGTTGTAGAATGGGAAAGAAATTGAAGGCGCCGCCGATGATAACATGATTTGGATCGAGAAAGTCGCAAAAATTGCTACATAAATCAGGTCTTTCCATCGTTTTGTAAACAAAAATAATAGTAATGAAATGGGATAATATATAGTATTTAAAAAATCTCCAAAATGCAACCAAATTTAAGAAATTATTAGGGAACTTCGGATAAAACCGAATTGTCTAACTGCATAATTTGTATTGAACTATTTAATTCGGATATTCGGATTTTTGGATTGTTTTTTAACAAAACCGAATTATTATTTTGGATTTCGGATTGGTTTTGATTTATAAAATAAGAACCGAATGATCCAAAATAAACCGAATAAACATTTATTATTTATTTATTTATAATATATATCTATAGTTATCTATTAATTTTGTAATTTATTTTTTCAAATAGGTTCAAAACGTTTCACCCGATAAAAAAAACATCAATATGTATTATCTTTCAAAAGTTTTCTATCTATAAAATATTTAACTATAATATATCTTCATAGTAGTTGTTTATAATTTTCAAATCAAAAACTAAATAATTTGTTTTCGCTTCTTGTATAAAATTAGGTAATATTATAATTATATGCCACTTTAAAATGTTTCGGTTTTTGAAAACCGATTTATAAAAACCGATCCAACCGAATTGTAACTGGATCGGATCGGATCGGATTTGAATTTATTTTGAACTATTCGGATCCATGTTTTGAAAATCGAAATCAATTTGGATTCACTTGATTAGATCGGATCAAATCGATCCATCCAAACAAGCAACCCTAGAAATTATGACCTACCTGTTATATTATTCTTTATATTTTGGATATGTAATGTCTAAAATGTTTTGGACAAGATATCATACAAAAATTAAAATGTTTTTATAATGAAGGTCATTGATAAAGCAATTTCAGTTAATTTATAATAATATTAAAAATGTGATATAGAGTTGTTTAATGTTTGTAAGAAACATTATATTTTATATTTTTCTGCTTAAATCTAAATATTTTTTATTTATAAAATAAAACTCTCATATTTTTATAAATTTTTTAGTTCCATCATTTGGTGTTTTTTTTTTTTGAAAAGAAAAAACCTAACTTTTTTTTTTTCAAAAATACCCTTAAATTTGATAAAAAAAAATCTCGTTTGGATCCAACTTTTTGGTTTCGGATCATAATTTGTTTGTTCTTATTGCTGATATTGTTTATGGTGTTTTGGTGGAAATATATAAATATTCAATTGTATATGTGTTTGCTAATTTGGAAGTTGAAGGTTTCTTGTTTGATAATTTTAATGAAATTATATAACAAATTGTTTCATGTCTCTCAATTTGAAAAATGAAGCTTCAGTGTCTGCTAACCTTGATGGAAATCGTATCACAAAGGGTTGTGTCTGCCAACTTAGAGGCCAAAGATTTGAGTCAATTAATTTGGATGCATCAACTAAACTAATTTGACGATTGAATGTTCTACATTTGCTAACTGAAAAATGTGTCTTACTGTCTTTTAATTTAAAGATGAATAAAATAGAATGCCTAAGAAAATTATTGACTATAATGTTTATTGATGTGATTTATGTAGCAATTTGTTGAGTATATAGTTATTGATGTGATTTATGAAAAAAAAATCAAAACTCCAACAAAGCAAAATGAAGAAACAAATTTCCCTACAAATCATATAAAAAAAATAAAGTGTGAAATCATGAGAAAATACAAGCACCAAAATATACATATAAATATGCAAACACCCAACTTGAAGTTCATATCCATCCATACAAATCCAGCCCTTTTCTATATATAATAATAATAAATAATACATGGAAAACAAAAGTCTTGAAAAATTACGTGTATATATAAGCTTTTAATTTAACTTGCCCCATACTTGAGCCTTTCCCAAATAAAAGGCTGGAACACAAACATAACCTGGGGCGAACTCTTAAAAAGCAACGCCACACACACACACACCGCAGCAATCGCCACCATCGACAGCATCGCTGGCTTATATATCGCCAGCGAGGATCTCACCCCACCATAATACCCCAACTTCCCTTCACACGCATTACACCTTCCCTTAAACACCAATGCCTTTTCCTTTTCCTTTTCCATTTCAAATCCCTTAAATGACAATTCTGCCCCTCCTTTCACCTTTGTTTTTAAAGGAATATCAACCACCACATGTCCCTTGTTTTTATTCATCTTTCTTTGAACCAAATGAATGTAAGGGTAATGGCCTCTAAGGGACGCGTAATCATAAGGTGTTAAACCACTACTGTCATGACTTCTTCTCCATGCTTCAACTCCCACCTTTTAAATCATTTTACAAAAATCAGACAATTTTCTACAACTTAGTTAAATTAAACTGAAATTTGAAAACAATTACCATTTGAGGATCATTTGTTAATGCATCAAGCACATCCTCAGACCCATCTTTACCAGCTGCAATATGAAGAGGTGTCAAACCAGCGGGCCCCACTGCGTCAGGTTTAAACAAAACGGGACCGGGCCCACGAAAGTTTAACAGAAAGTCAACCATGGGTCTCGAGTTTCTTCTCACAGCCCGATGGAGTAAACCAATGTCCATCAAGGCGGTTTCAATTGAAGTGTGGTTTATTACTGTTATACCCTTGAAGATTAGAGTCAGTAGTTTGTTGACCACACGGCACCAGTCATGGTCAACTGAAAACTCTATGAGCCATCTAAATCGGTCAAACGAAAAAGGATCTGAATTTGGATCCATGGATGATAATCTTGATTTTAATTGGCTTCGATGTAGAAGCCAACCCATTTCATTTATAAAATCTAGTGCTTGATTTCTTGCTTCTAATTTTGAATCGTCTATATCGGTTTCTAGTGTGCGGATTTCTGAACACACGTCTTCTTCCGCTACTATAAATGGAAAGAAACTGCTGCTCAGACTGTCATCCTCGATCTAATCAAAAAATAAAAACATAAGAAGATTACTCAAAATCTTTGAAAAAATTAAGGAGGATTAAGAAAATAAAGATCACCTCGATGAAGCCTCTACCATGGATGTTAGGTATAGAGCAGGAGAAGGTTAGAGACTGGAGGTGGTGGTCGTGCTTGATCGACGAATCTCCACCGTCCATTACATTTGAGCAATTTGTTTGGAAAAGGTAACTGCCTTCTAGGGCACAAGTCAACCTTGATGTTGACCATGAAAAGCTAAAGCCTTTGACTGAAAATTCAGCAGTTTCAGAGAAAGAAACTGCTATGGGTTTAACACTCAAAATAGTTGAGTTTCTATGGTCTTTATTATGAGGTAAAGATGTGTTCAGAACAATCTGGCCTGTAGAAGCAAGAAATCAAGAATCTTGGTGAGATTAAGGAAAAAAAAAAAAAAAGGTAACCTTTTTTTTTCTTGAAAGCATATTATGTGTGTATAAAAAGATTACAAGAACTAACCATCGCATGCAAATGCAACATGATCCAACACCCTAGTGTAAATCCATCCTGTTCTCCAGAAAGAATCACTAGATGCTTCCAGAAGCTTCCTCAAATTACTGCTTAAATCATAGCAAAGCTGCAACAAACATATAGTCATTTTACAAACGTTACAAAAACCACAAACCACCTTTGGGAGCAAAATTGAAAATATCAGCTATACTCAGGGACTAAAAATGTAATTAACTGTAAATAATATTCGGATAGAGTGACAAGGAAATGTACCTCATCCCAAGAGGAATTATCCATTCGAAGATAAACAGATAATATGATGCATCCAGGCTTGATATAACCTTCAATATCACTTGGACTTTGTGACAACCAATCAAGAATCTGTATTTTAAACAGTTTACCAAATTCAGCACAAAAATAAAAATATCAGAAGACCATATAGCCTACAATAAGTAAAAAAAAAAAAGACCTGGTTTCTGAGGAGAACAGGCAACTCGTTTGGATCTTTTCCAAATAGCTTGAATACAATCCTGTCTGTACGACTCTGAAAATTTGAAAAAAAAATCTCTTTAAAGATATTTTTCATAAAAAAAAAAAGCAAAGGATTGTACTATTTTAGACGTATATATAAAATTTAATACCTGTGCCTCGCCACTGGAGCTAGATGGTGACTGTGTTGCTGTGGAGCCTGAGGTCTGAGGGGGACTTGATTTGTGTGGGTCCCCCCCACGTAACCACATGGGGACATTGTCTGTATTTTCAAAGGTATCAAAGGTTTCCATGCAATCTTGAGAATCATCATAAGCATTGTTAAGGTCAATGGTGTTAAATTTCATCCTTCCAACTCCAACAGTAGCTTCCATAGGACTGGATTTAGGTTGGAATGGGATGTTGTTATTTGAGGGGTCAGTTATTTGTAAAGCTCCTCCATTTTCCATTGTTTCATATTCTAAAGGCTGTGAAGCCTCCTATAAACAAATCTTTTCACTCTTAGATGTTGAATCTAGTTTTAAAGATTATCAATTTATGCACTTGTGTCTGTATTTACCTTTTCAAGGGGTGGAATGGATGTGGAAGCATTCGTGAAATTTTGAGATCCAGTTATTAATCGAGACAAGTTACTCGCATTGATGTTGCCAAGATTCTTCAGTAGATGAGTGACCAAATCTTGCTCACTCCTTTGATCTGAGGTATTGGCTGCAATAAATAAAAAGTTAAGATATAAATTACAGAGTAAATACAAAATAGGCATATGCCAATATATAGTATTATGTTCAAGCACTTACAGTGTATATTGGTGAGTATTCTCAAAAGACTAATGAGCAAGTAACTACTCCCATGTTCAACATTCAAAGAGACACCATTAACCGTATTTTCTGGATGTGTCTTCCTTCTCCTTCTATTATGTCCAGCTAGACGCCTGCGACAGCTTCTTTTTCCTTCATCAAACTCCTGAAGAACATGAAACCTGCTGCACTGTTGACAAAACCTCTGCATCACATTCAACACCAGTGCTTTGGTGGCTTTAGAATGCAAATCACAAACTTTATGCCTTCTATGATAATCCTTAGCATTGCTTAAATCCGTTCTACAATCATCCACTTGACATACTGCACGATTGGATGTAGTTCCAGCAACTTTGGTCTTCTTCCCAGTTTTCCCCTCCCATCTC